TAAAAATTCCAGTATGTTTTATTTAAAATGTCTGGAAGTATACATTTTATTTTGCAATTTATTTACAAATATATATATATTGTAAATATTGTTTTTCCAGTATATACTTCAGAACTTCGTTTTCAACAGTTAAACTTAAAAACATAGTTTATTTTATTTGTTTATAAGGGAGAGCCAGATACTCAATAAGTTTATTTTCAAGATTAATATAAATTTTTTTTAAATCTGAAAATAGTAATTTAATTCTAATTATCAACTCGAGAACAAAAGATATATTTGAAAAATTTCAATTGTTTCCCCAGGTCTTTCAAAGGTATGTGTAAAATTTTAAATATATTTTTAGTGAACTAAGAAATATTGAGATAAATGAAAAAAAACATTATAAAATACAATGCCCTTTTTTTAAAAGTATAGTGCCCTTTTCTATTTTTAGCACCCTGCCCTTAAAACAGAGTAAAGAAATAGTTAAAGCAATAAAATAGCTGAAAAAAATACAAATGCAAAAAAAAATTTTTTACAGAATTATATTCTAAAGATACTTTTCTTGTTCATCTGAAAGGAAAGAAATACTTCTGATTTTTCAGTTCTCATTTCGGAATTTAAAAAAATTCACTAATGACTGGCTTGCTTCAGGTAGAATTTTAAATTTATAAAATAAAAAATAAATAAAAATAATAACAAAAATTCTGAAATCTCAGAAGTTTAAAAGATAATTCACTCTAGAAATGATGTTTTTTCTTTCATTCTTTGAAAGAACACCACAGCTTTTAAAGAACATAATGAAAACAGTTTATATTTTAATAAAATATGACTGTGAGTGGGGATTTTATTACAAATTCAGATATTCGGAACACCATGAAATGGTGGGAGGGAATTCTTAAATTCCATTTTAAAAATTAAGATTTTTCAGCGACCTAAATCCATGACTTTCCATGATTTTCTTTAAAAAAAATAGTTAAAATCATGACATTTCATGACAAATTTTGTTCAATTCCAAAATTCATGACTTTCTAGGTGTGCGGATACCCTGTTTACATCAAAGAAAAATAAAGTAACTCAATATATTTATTATTAAGAGAAGGAGGGGATCTTTGCAGAAATGTGCACATTTTGAAACCCATCTTTGAAATGGAAAATACAGAAAGCAGTTTAAAAGATGCTTATTTTGTTAGATTAAACAAAAAACTATTATTAAATAAATGTAGTGTAACGTATTTCTCAACAAACATATAGACAAACGTGGTAACAAACAAAAACAATTTATTTAAACATAACAAAAATAAAAAAAACACACAAATTTTCATTCATGACTCTATAGCAGAGAGGAGAGGATCTCCTACAACTTACTCTCTTAAAAATCACTGACTGACTGACTGACTATTACGCATGCGCAGTTCGTTTCTGTTCAGTTGTGGTTAGGGAGATATTACAGACTCCTCCCTTCCCAAGAACTTTTTCAGGTAAATAAATGAAAAAGTTAAACTTTCAAAAATGTTACATTACTTTAACGTATCAAATATATAAAATAATATCAATATCATATATGAAAACACAGCACATATCAATAACATTATAAAAAACACAGCATACAAATACAAATATTCAAACATCATTTTTACAGAATTTCAGATAAACACATTATAAAGAAAATATTAATCATTATTTTTATACAATCAAGAGATATATGAAAATATAGCACATAAAATAAACACAAATGAAAAATGAATAATTTTTAAATGTTATGATTATTGTGATTTTAACCTTCAGTTTTATGCAAATTATTTGCAATCGTTATCATCATTTTTTTTTAAAAATCTAAAGGAGCTCTACTTAAACTATCCGCGTTATTATTCAATTTCAAAGCTTTATGAATAATTTTAAAATCATAAGTTTGAAGGAATAAAGACCAACGCATTAAGCGTGGATTTGTACTTACATTTTTATTTAACCAAGTTAAAGGATTATGATCAGTTTGAATAGTGAAAGATCGTCCATCAATATAATAATGCAATTTTTTTACAGCAAAAATAATGCAAGCACACTCTTTTTCTGTTGTGCTATACTTTTTTTCAGTGGGAGAAAACTTTTTACTTAAGTATAATATAGGATGTTCCTTCCCCTTTTTATCATACTGTGTCAAAACAACCCCCATACCTAAGTCGCTAGCATCAGTTTGAATGATGAATTCGTTATCAAAGTTAGGAGCATACAGAATAGGCTCACTTGAGAGTTTTCTCTTAAGTTCCTGAAAAGCATTTTCGCAGTCATTATTCCATTGAATGAGTCCTTTTCGAACTTTACCCTTTAAAGTTTCTGTCAGAGGGGCAACGATTGATGAAAACATGGGTATATATTGTCTGTAATACCCGGCTAATCCTAAAAAGGCTCGGACTTCTGTTTTAGTTGTTGTTTAGAAAACTCCTTAATAGCCTTTATTTTCACTTCTCCAGGCGAACGTTTTCCGTTTCCTACAATATGGCCAATATATTTAACTTCACTTTGAGCAAACTGGCACTTTATTGGTTTAATTGTTAAATCGGCTCTATGAATTCGGAGAAAAACTTCCTTGAGGTGCTCTAAATGTTCCTCCCAACAATCAGAAAAAACTGCTACATCATCAAGATATGGAACAGCATATTTTTCACAGCCTCTCAACAATTGTGCCATCATTTTGCTGAAAGAGAATGGAGCATTCTTGAGTCCAAATGGCATTCTAAGAGGTCTATAAGTCCCAAAACTAGTACTGAAGGCTGCTAATCTCTGAGCATTCGGAGTCAAGGGATTTGCCAATAACCTCTAGTTAAATCTACTAGAGTAATGTATTTTGCTGAGGACACCCTTTCAATTAATTCCTCAGTATTAGGTAAAGGATAAAATTGTGTTCTGGTCACTGCATTTAATTTGCGATAGTCCACACACGGTCTTGGATCACGGCCTGGGATTTCAACGACTATCATAGGTGAAGTGTAGTCTGATTCACCGATTTCAATAATACCACACTTTAGCATTTTATCGATTTCAGTCTTCAATATATCAGTTTGCCTAAGAGACATTTTATTAGGTTTAGAGAGGATAGGGGTATCAGAAGTCAGTATAATATCATGTTCAATCAAAGTGGTTTTTCCTGGTATGTTTGAAAAGTTCTTTGCAAATTGTTTAACAATTGATGCAGTTGATCAATTTGTTGTGAAGTCAGTCTTTCTTGAACTACTACTGTTGCATACAATGTCATTAAAATTATAAACGTTGGGACTTGGTTCAATATGTGGAAAGTCTATATCACTATCCACTTCACTTTCCTCAATTTTCATCGTTACTAAGTTGACATATTCACTTCGTTTATAATAAGGCTTCAGCATATTAATATGGTAAACTTGGGATCCGTCCTTTCTCCCTGGTAAGTTTATGACGTAATTTGTTTCAGATATCTTCTTTTTTACAGTTCCAGGTCCTAGCCACTGAACAGATAATTTATTTGGTCTTGACGTTGCTAAAACTAAAACCAAATCTCCTTCGAGAAACTCACGCTTGACAGCATTTTTGTCATACCATAATTTTCTTTCTATCTGTACTTCTTCCATTTTCTCTATAGCTAGTTCTTGACATCTTTTCAAGCGATTAATTAACTGGAAAACATAATCTGTAACTGGGTTGGATTCTATGTCTAATCCTGTCCATTTTTCATAAAGCAAAGTTTCCGGTGTTTGGAGTTGTTTTCCATGCACTAATTCTGCGGGTGAGAATCCGGTGCTTTCGTGATGTCACTGTTCGAAGGGCGAAGAGTGCTGAGGGTAGATGTTTTTCCCAATCATTTCCTGCTTTCAAGCATAAAACTCTCAAAATACGTTTTATTGTTCTGTGAAATCTCTCAACAGGATTGGATTGCGGATGATGTACAGAACTACGGCACACCTTTATTCCGAAACGATCAAAAAATTCGCTGGTTAAATTGCTAACAAAAGATGTCCCTTGGTCACACTGGATTTCAACAGGAAAGCCTGATCTACTGAAAATATTAAGTAATGCATCTGTTACTGATATGGAAGTTAAATCAGTAACCGGTATCGCATCAGGATATTTAGAAGATAAACAAATGGAAGTGATGATGTAACGCTTCCCAGATGGAGTGATAGGAAGTGGACCACAAGCGTCAATATTCAATTTAGAAAATACTTCCTGAATTATAGGCACAAGCTTTAAAGGAGCTTTCTTTTTCTCATTCGGTTTGCCAGCCCTTTGACAACTGTCACAAGATCTCACATAATCTTCAATATCTTTATAACATTTAGGTCAAAAGAAGCGACGGTTAAGCCTATCCTTCGTTTTTGTGACTCCCAGATGACCAGAAGTATTTTCATGGCATAAAGTCATAATTTTGGCTCTGAACTTTTTTGGTATCACTATTCATTCCTTTATTTTCCCATTATGATCTTCTTGAATTTTCATTAATAGTTTACTTTTGATGGAAAATTTTTTATTTCGATCTTCAACTTCTTTATTTTTATTGGCAATTTTGAAGAGAGGTTGCAAATCCGGGTCTTCTACCTGTAAATTGGCAAGCTGATCTGTATTTATTTCTAGCAGTGAATCTCCACTTTCATCAGGAGGAGGAAATTGGAAATCATTCTCGATCATTGATTCAGAAGTAGATTCGAAGTTTTCAGCATGTTCAACTTTTTCTGGCTCCATTACAGACGTAGTATCTTCAAAAGTTCCTTTTTCTGTGTCGATTATTTCTTCTTGACAATTGTTCTCTCTCCTCTTGTGCTCTTGTTTCAACAGCATTTATTGCTAGGGGTGCAGACATTTCTCTTAATTGAGAATCAGAAAGTAAAGACGCTGTACGATTTCCCATTATATAGCGTCCTTTATCTAGTTCATGATGAACAACAGCGGCCTTTGTAATTAGGTCTCCACCTGGAAGTGATATTGTAACTTGTGCAAGAGGTAAACACACAGGGCCTTCATCAAGAGGTTGTTGCACCCAAATTGTCTCACCTGTAAACTTATTGGGAGATGTATATTTTCTACATATGACATCGATACTAGCACCAGTATCTCTTAAAATAGGCATTAAGTGGTCATTCACTTTACCAACAACGGTATATGGAGCCAAAAATTCATCTTCTATCCTTCCACGATTCTGTTAATATTTACAATATCTTTTGGATTCCTTAGTTTTGGACAGTGAGGACAGAGATGGTTGCTGGAACCACATTCATAGCGCTTTGGAGTCCTTCGTTTATCAAATGTTCGACCTATCCCTGTTTCCCTACGATCATTTATGTGGTTGACATCCTTGTTTCTACTATCTATATATTCTTCTCTTCTATCATACACATTATCTTTCCTAAAGTTCTTATATCTTTCAGACAAAACTCTATCAGTTCTATAATTATCATATTTCGTAAAATTTTTGCGATATGCTGGCGGACTTGGTAACACTTTTGGCTTTGTAGGAATACTTCTAGAGTCTTTTGATTTTATCGTTTTTCGTACGTCATCAAATTCTTCTAACTTTCCAGCAAGTTCTACTGGAGATGTAATGTTACTCCATTCATCCAAATAGTACTCTTTAAATTCTTGAGGAACTCGTTTCTTCATCTGGTCAGTTATAATCAAATCTTTTAACTTTTCAAAAGTATCTACTTTTAATCCCGTTATCCACCCATCAAAATAATTAGAAAGTTCGTGATAGAAGTCTGGCCAAGTTCCTTCAGTTGATTTTAGATGCTTCATAAAAAGTTGACGAAATTTTTCAGGTGTAAGCTTGAACCTCTTCAGTAAAAGTCCTTTAACGTGTTCATAATCTTGGGCTTTATCATCAGGTTCACGGGCAATAATTTGTGTTATTTCATAAGGATGTAAACCCAACAAATGTGTTATCCACAACTCTTTTCCTATTTCCGCCCTCCGTGCTTGGCGCTCAATAACACCAAATACAAACTAATATCTTCTTTAATGTCATATTTATGAACTAACGAGTGTATATCTTTTGAATTTCACGCACCTTCTACTTGAGGAGTACCAGCCATCTTTAATTTAACTTCAAGTTTCATTCGCTCCAACTCATATTCTCTCTCTTCTTTTCACCGCATTGCCTCTGCTTCAGCTGCTTCTTTTAATTTCAACGCCTCTGATTCAGCTTCCTCCTTCAACTGAACCTTCTTCTCCTCTTCCTTACGTTGTTTTCTTTCCTCGATAATAGTAAAAAATAATTCTTTAGCGAACTCCTCTTCATACATATCATCTTCTGTTATGGCTTTTTTTCAATTAAATTATTGTCATAGTTGGATTAACATCTATTTCTAACTCTGATGCTAACACTAATAAATCTCCCTTTAATCCATTGCCCAAGAATGCCATGGTTAAGATTAAATAATAAATCAAAAATTTAATCCAATGAATTTTAACTTAAATGTGTAGATATTTTACCAAAGAAAAAAATTATACCCTTGCTAACTCAAAGAAAATAAATATATTTACCTCAATTAAGTACTTAGCTAAACAATAAAAAAATCATAAAATTTAAATTGAAACAAAACTGTAAATTTTATGACACTGTAATTTTATATTTTTTTAAATAGGTTATTTAATAACAAGGAACAGCAATGATGAGAACCAAACCGAAAACAATAAGAAAAATATTATTCATCCGAAACAAAAATTTTCAAGAATAAATCCAATTATAATGAAAAATGTATCTCATAAAAATATTATATCAAAATATAAATCGTCATTTAAATCCTTAATTAAGCTAAAAGTAATATCTAAAGATAGACGTGAAAATCAAAACAAAATATAAATGCTTCTACTCTTTACCTTCATAAACTCAAACACAAATTTAAAATTTTTAATAAAATTAAAAAAAAATATATATATATAAGCAATCAGTATCTGTAGAAAAAAATTTATGAACGGATTAAATAACAGCTCTAGCAAAAGTAATAAATACATCAAAGCAAGAAAGAAAAAAAAAAGTATTCGATTTCTTTCAAAACCGCAATGATGAATAAGCTAATTTTCCCCCTACTTCCTGTTTAAAACAGAAATATTTCTCATGCTTCGTTATTAATTTTATAATGATTTTACTTACAGAAATCACTTAATTTACTACACTCAATACATAGAAAACTATATAAATAAATATTTGCACATTTCTAAGAGAAAAACAAATAACTTTCTTCAATATATATCTTTGTATATCTAATCAAAAAATGATTAGATATACAAAGTAATTATTTTACACTGTTTCAAAATTTTTTCGACACTTCTATTATATGCTAGCACTCAAAATCAATATACTTACTGTTCTATTCACATAAAAAAATTGTCAAAACACTTTAAACAGTAACACATTCACATTCTACATCTGGACGATATGATATCTAGATAATATTGGTATATGTTAACCATGAGATTATTTCAGATATAATAAGGAAGGGTACCTTTTTTTTACAAATCGGAACACTTGCATTCAGGATGAATATTGCTTTGTAAACAAATCGAAAAGATAATACTGGTATAGGCCAACCATTGAATTATCTCAAATATAACAAGAAAGGGTACCTCTTTCACAAATTGGAACACTTGTATTCAGGATGAATACTGCTTTGTAATTAAATCGAAATCGGAGCACAAATAGCACATTCCTTAATCTTCGGAGAAAATTTCCTATCTTAAACGATCTCAAGGATTGAGATTATCTTTTTGCCAGAATTTTTATTTATTTCCATCATCAAATATTAGCACTTATTGGATTTTTAATCACCGAACAACAACGGTTCAGCCACGACTTTCATATCTCGTCAGGTGCCTCCAATTTATTTGTCTGTAACGTATTTCTCAACAAACGTGGTAATAAACAAAAACAATTTATTTAAAAATAACAACAAAAAAAACACACACAAATTTTCATTCATGACTCTATAGCAGAGAGGAGAGGATCTCCTACAACTTACTCTCTTAAAAATCACTGACTATTACGCATGTGCAGTTCGTTTCTGTTCAGTTGTGGTTAGGGAGATATTACAATAGTTATACTTTAGTAAAGCGTACAAGCATTCTTGTCCATGATTCAAATTAAAAAAAAATTTTAATAAAACTTAAGTGGTCATTATTTACCCCAGAAACAGAGTGATCGTGAATTATCCAGGGTCACCCTACCTGACACAAATTTTGTGCCTGGAAGAGAAAATAAAATATTTGAGATATTTTATAGTTATTTAGCTCATCAAAAGTAAAACTTCATAAAAGCAAGTAAAAAAATTATTTTCAGAATAGAAAACACTTAGGGTATTTGTTGCAAGTATTTTTGCACCTGTGTTAACCCCATAACAATCGGTTAATTTTCAAGAAAACGGTTATATAATTGCCTATTTTTTTTTATCCCTGAAAATTTATTAGTGCTGACATCTAGTTTAAAATAAACTATCTACATTTACCTTAAAATTATCCTGGTACTGCCATCTGGTGCATAAAATCAGAAATATGTGGCGTAACTACCACTACAAATATTAAATACCAAATCACTAGTATATAAGTTATGTTAACTCGATTCTATCTTGAGGTACCTTTTGATAGATAAAGGTTGACATAGTCTAAGATTAATCCCCCACAAATAAAATGTTTTCCAGGCAAAAGAAAGTAATTAGTTTAATTCTCATTGGCGCGTTACTACTGAACACTGCAGCCCGGAAATATCACGGAAGCGAGAAATAGAGGGCGAAAACTCACCCCATCATTTTCACGGGAAGGAGAAGGAAGGGGTTAATGTGATATAGGCCAGGAAAAAACAATCAAAGCAACATAGGAAGATTTATGAACTGAATGTTAATCAGTTATTTAAAAATATTATTATAATATATTTTATGTATTATGAATAATAAAGATATTTTCAAACACAGAAATTTTTACCTCAGATTCCTTTGCTACATTTGCAGTACTCAATAGATTTATTCGATCAAAAATATTATTTAAATCGGTTTCTTCAAGTGAAACAGATTCTTTAATTATGCTTAAATATTCTCCAACAGACATTGAGGAATATTTCAAGTTCAAAATTTTCTGATTTGTTTTAAGTTTATTAAAAATTAATGACTTGCTAGAGCTAATTTTTGCGTGAATGAAATAATGTTACAAAATTTTGTTTGACAGAATGCAAGAATATAGATTGAGTATGATTTTTATGCTTCATAAATGCGCTTGTAGCTATCATGGATTAAAAGAGATGTATTAGAGAATCTTAAATCCTATTTTCACAAGCCCATGTGAATTGAATTGGGTATACTATTCGCGATCGCAACACTCGAATACGCCATCTGGGGAGAGACCGGTTTCATGCCTTTAGCCCTTCTCCCTTCCCTCTCCTCCTCTTTTCAGTTGTATAGGAATGTACTACGATATTTTCCCTTTTCTTAATATTTTTCCTTTTTANAGTAATTGATATTCGATTTTTGATTAATAATTGATTTATGTGGATAGTGGCATTTATGTGGATATGGGCATAGAATTTAGCATTGCGTCATGGTAAATGTTATTCCTACTAAGTGGAAGTAGTTGTGTTTTTTTTATATTATACCCAATTAAAGTGTGGTAGATGCGCGATCATAACTGATAACTAAATCCCATAAATCTTATTAGTTAATTTTATCATCACTATCTTGCAGCCAGTGCCGGATTAAGCGTACACGGGGCCCTAAGCCATTCAAATTGTTGGGGCCCTTAGATTAAATGTTTTAAATTTCTAAAAAATAATAATAACATTTTGATGTTGCAGTTGTAGTTCATTTACGTCGCACTAGAGCTGCACAATGGGCTATTGGCGACAGTCTGGGAAACCTCCCTGAGGATGATCCGAAGACATGCCATCACAATTTTGATCCTCTGCACCCCTGCTTCGGTAGCCCGACGACCTGCACGCGAAGTCGAGCACTTTACGGCAGAACAGTTTAACGAGGACCGATACCGCACACCCTCGATCCCAACCTCAGACTGATCCAAGTGCCCACCCATCCACACACTGACCGCAACCAGTGATGCTTGACTTCGGTGATCTACTGGGAACCGTGTCTTAACGATCAGTCCACTGCGGGACCATAACACTTTGAAAAGAAATTGAAATTTATTAACACTTCAGTTGATGCACTAGATAACTTCTTTTTCTTTTAAAACGTGTCAATGGATGGTGTTTTCTACACTAGGGAAAGCTGCAAGCTCCATACCGCCTATTGCGGGTTACTGTTTCCGGGGTTTTTTTTTAAGTCATTTGGCTCACAACCCAAGTAGCACCGGAATATTGTAACAGATTTAGTCTACATCGACCGACATTGTCAATATTGGCGAAAATCGACATTGTGTGTACGATAGTGTACGATTCCCGTCGATTTCACATTAAAAGTCTGTTTGTAAAACTTTTCATTCTAATCTTTATTGTGTTTGTTGACGTATTTTGTCTTTTAAATTAATCATTTAAAAGACAAAAAATGACGTCAAATTTTCATAATTCCAAATAATAAATTTAAAATATAAATTTAGAGATATCCGAAATGCTGAGAGATATCGATCGACGTTCCCCAAATTTTTTACTATATCGAACAATATTCCCAGGTAGCAAAAAATATGATCTAATATTAGAAAAATGCAATATAAGACTGCAGTGCTAGAAAACGCAAGACTCTTGAATCCTATCTTCTAATATTAGAACTAATATTACATAAAATTAAATAGTATTCGATCTAGCATTTAAACTTTCAAAATTTTCATCTATTTTATTACTTTTGGTCCAGCGCCACATTTTTGCGAAAGGTTATCCCATATTATTAATAAATAAACATTTATTTATGAAGGAAAACTATAAATTAAATATTACTTAAAATATCATTTTCAGCCAATGCACTTTTATGGCAGAAAGCGCAAGATAATATTAGTGGTAGTTTCTGAACGATTGAACTAGAAAAACTTTTTCAACTGTTTATGTTGAGCTGTAACTCCTTCATGCTTGTTTACAAGACGACCTCGCCATCTTGTTTTAGCTCAGCAGCTTTCGTTTCAACTATTTAAGGTATTTATAATTTAGTAGTTTTTTGCAAACTTTATAAATTTCAATGATAGTTACATGATAAAGTAGTATCGTAGGTAATGTTTTTTCCTTGAGTTAAAAATCAACTAGAAAAGTAATTTAAAGCACGATGTGTTTGAGATTGTAGATGTTGTAGAAACATTCAGTGTATTTAATAAACTCGACCGCTAAATTAAAATATTTAAGAATTAACTTATTGATCATGTATCCAATAAGGTCAGTAAATATTTTGTATTGTGATCACTATTGTTCACTCGTAGTAGTTGACTTCTTTGTTGAAACGTATTATCTAGCTGTAAGTAATAAGTACTGTTTTTCTGCAAAAATGAAAAAGACAAAAGTAATTGTCTGTAAGCAAATTAGCCGTGTTAAATCAAAAGTAAAATATATACATATATTTATAATCTGCTACTTTTAGCGCAGTTAAAACCATTATATTGTAGAATGTTTAAATAGTTTAATACAAACAATATTGCTAGCATATTAAAATTTCATGTTTAAAATATTGTACAACAATGAATTAAACATTTCTATTTAAATATAGACTGATTTTTATTTGAATATGGACTAATCTGTATGTCTTTGATTCATCATTATTTATATTAATTTGTAAATGATTAAAAAATAAACAATAATATGGTCTATTCAAAATGGTGATTATGGTGATCAAATAGTCACCAGTTCTTTCAATGCAAAAAAAAGGTTCAATACAGACATACTTCATCCGGGCAATGCTTTACGCGGCTCTATAGTTTTTGGAATGCGATTTCGAAGTTCATTTTGTCAGCTAAATCAGACAGAGAAAGTGAAGTTGAATGCAGGTGAACTATAGCAGCCAGAGAAAACAGAGTTAATTTAAACAAACAATTTTAAGTTTGAACGATAAAAAAAAAGGAAGAAGATAGTCATGAACGTGAACATTTTCAAAATTCAGAACGGAACTGACAGGGGGAGCACATTTTTGTGCTTTTGCAAGGTTTGTAGAGTAGCTACCACTACAGCAATACAAGATAAAATTCTGGCAGACAAATTCTGGTGGTGGAGTACTTTGGTGGGTCCACCACTACAAAAATTCAATTCCAATTCACTAGTATATAAAACATGTTAAGTCGATTCTATGATGGGGTACCTTTTCATAGATGATGGTTGACAGGGTCGATAACTACTCACATTGGTGGTTTTTGGACGTGATGTGAACATGCCTATCTTGACAGAAACTTCCACTTCGATTTGACATTCCACGCTCAGAGCTTGACTAAGGCAGATGCATACGGGACAGTTGAACCGGGCCCCCACATCAGAGAGGGGCCCCCAAATCGAATAGAAAGTTAATTTTACGTTCCCTTCCTTATAAACTTTTTTTTGAAATAAAATATCAGTACAGTGAAAAATCTGTCAGTTTTATGTTTGCTTCTTCATTAATCTATATTTCGTAAATCCACGGGGCTTTCTAGGGGCGGAATTCAGCTAAATTTTTGCAATTAAGATGGACAAATTTGACCAATCAAAATCCTGTACTTTTACATATCGCAAAATGCGGTATGTTTTCAAAAATACGCACTAAAGTGAGCCATCGTAAGTGCGAAAATGTAGCCTAATTCCGCCCTATTGTCAGCAAGGACACGAATCTTTCGTAGCTCGGTGACAGAAAACTGCATGATGGACGTCAGAAAATCAATAAAATGAACGCTATTTCATCTGACCTATTTTATGTTCTTCTCTCGTTATATATGTTGAAAAGTCCGGTTCTTCATTACTAAACCACACTAGGTCAGTTAAGAATGGTGTAAATATCGTTTTCATAAAGTTCCACTCAGTAGAGAGGACAGATCTTCGGGACTATAAATAGTGTGATGGGCAATCTAAGACGTCATATAAAACATGAATTTCTCTTTATAATTCTCTCACAATTGATTTGTCGATATTTCTTGTAAGCAGTATTCCAAATGCCTGCCTATAACGGGATCAATATTTCATTCACATCCACAAAATGCATCTGCCGAGAAATTTGCTCAATTTTCATACAAATAGTTTTCTCCCCTCTGTCTCTTGGGGGGAATTGCCTCTCCCGATATCATGCAAATCCCCTTTTTAGTCATCTTTTGGTTGGAATGAAGGGTGATTTGTCTTATTACCCTCCGCCTACCAATATCTTTTTATCGTCTTCCGTGAAAGGGATGCACTCGGGAGCAAAAGAAGCTCTGCACTGGAAACGTTTCGCTGTGCGCAAAATAAAAAACGGACATTGACGGAGTATTTGCTCGAATGATTGAATTTTCACTTAGGATGCAATATGAATGATTTGAAATGTGGATTTTAAGCAGGAAAAAGAGCACTAGGGATAGGAGGAAATAAAATAGCGCAGTTGATATTTTAAAATACAAAATTGGACGTAAAACAGCTTTTTCATGAATGCAATTTTTTTAACCGCTTCCCTGATTATCCCGAGTTAACTCGGGTACGTAAATATTGCAAATATTTATTATCCTGAGTAAACTCGGGCACAGCAGAATTTGTCAATGCGTTTTGTTTTATCACGTTTTTATTCGGCAGGAAGCAAAACAAAAAAGAAAAATAATCTGCTGTGATTGGAAGTTTGCGAATATTTGTTTGGGAAGTTTGCTATTTGTGAGAAAGCAGACGTATTTTGTGCGATTGTATATACGATGGTTGATGAATTTAAATAGGAAAAAAAAGAGTAAAAAAATGGCATTCGCGAGAGAAAGTGAAAGTAATGCCGATGAATTTTCAGATGATGAAGATGCGAACATATACAAAGACTCATACTTAACTTTTTTCATCGGCCCGACATAATGTGGGATAGTAAACTGATGGTAAATTAAATATTTTTTACGCATAAAGAAATTAAAATTTCAACTTAGAACTTGTGTATTATGTTTTATTTTAGTTCCCTGTCTTGATTACTGAAATAAAAAAATTAGTTGATTTTTTGCATTTTTTCTTCTTTAAAATAATTGGTAAAGAAAGCGGTGCAGATGATATTTTAAAACACAAAATTGGACACAAAAACGTATTTTCATGAATAAATGTACCTTTTTTTAAAAAAAAAGATTCGAACTTTTGACTCTCAAATATCAGATGAAGGGATGAGGTGTTTTTAAAAAATTATGGTCCAAACGGAATCGATTGAATAGCTCTCGAAAAATAATAATTTAATCACACACACGCACACATATATATATATA